AGACAGACTTTTAGCTTGGTCCACGGGCCAAGTCGCAGACTGATTTGACCTATGGACCAAGCTAAAAGTGGGCCAAGTCGCTGGAAGACTCTTAAGACATTCACTTAGCCAACTTTATCTTATTATGAGACCTACTTTAGGCTACAAGGTTTGGTAAAGTTCATACTAAATTTCCCATTTTGCTTTACCTCCTGCCTTCATTTCATTTTTACCAGAAATGGATATGCTATCATGCCTCAGGGTAAGGTCGCGCGCGTGGGTGTTTTTTGTTCTGTATAAAGAACATTATTTCCTTCATATTGAAATTAATTTTAATGTTTTTTGTCAAACAACAATCAATTGTCTAATCAGATCAGGTAAATGTTTGCAAAGACATGTTGTTCTAAATACACAAAATACCGATTAGATGGAGATGTATTTTCGGAATAGTTACAAATTACCATAACTATGTATTACAAAACTCGTATATATCACGGTAAATATTATGAAATAAAATTATTTGTGAGATTGATTGTTCGACAAATATACAAACAAACTCTTCAGCTTTCGTATAGATTATTATAAATATCTGGCAGTAAGCAGTCTATGTACACCGTGTTCGTAATAATTATACTATCTTTTTTTCATGGATTTTCCCGTGTGGACATAAAAATGTCGATTTGCTAGAAAAATGATTACGTATCAAAAGTTGTAAAAACGTTTTTTACTGAAGAATTAAATATGAATTTTCTGACCCTTTTCTCATTAATTTTGCTCATTTATAGATTTATTTTGCAATAAATAGCCAAATCATAATTATCAAAATTGGTTCAGCGTTGCCGCGTTGTGGGAGACATACATACAGTTACTTTCTCTATCATATTAGTTATTTACTTCACTCTACATGCTCTACGTTGTTTGTCTAAGGAAATTGTAATAGGTAGACATTGAGCAAACATACCTGTACGTGGGTTATTATAAAAGTTAGGCTTTTCACGGGCATATTATTTACATGGTAACAGGTTATAGTGGAGCTGAACGATAAATAAATAATAAATTATGGAAAATGAGGTGGTGGTAGGTAGTTATTTTTAGTAGATGTTGATACAACATTTTCAATCAATCAAGTAGGAAGGTCAATAATTTTACTGGGAACTACTGATACTGGGAAGGGACATGGCAGATTAGGAATAATGTTAGAACTGTGTGTCATACTCTAGTTTATTTGTTAATAATATATTCAGCTGGGACCAACATTTCTGACTGTGTGAAAATGATCTATGGTATTAACTTTACACTTTGTAAATAGTTTTTTAAAAGAATAGTATTAGTTGGTAATGTTAAAAGTTACTAATAGTCCCTTTAACCCACTTTAACTCCTCGTAATTATTAAGCAAGCTTGTGTTACTAGTAGTTTACTACAATAGTCCAGCGGCGGCGGGGGTTCGAACCAGCACATTCTTCCGATCTCGAATCGGCCAGTCGAACACCTTCACCGTTCACCTATTGTCTGAAATTAGGTATTCCAATCATTTGAAAATTATTGCCTTGGGGGACACTTGTGTTTTCCGGTACGCGGCCTCCATTCCAGAACCTTGCTGCCCCATCGGCCGTCAGTTCTGCTTACTATACTCATGCCCTGTCCATTGCCTGCAAAAAAAAAGTATAATAAGTAATATATCTGTTAAGCTAGCACCCATAACACAAGCATTAAGTTGCTTACTTTGGGGCTAGCTGGCGCTGTGTCAAATTGTCCAAAGATTTATTTATTTATTTATTGCCACCACCTTACGTCCACCTACAAGGTGGACCGACGACATCGTAAAGGTAGCAGGGAAGTGGATGCAGGCCGCTACCAATCGATCAACGTGGAAAGCATTAGGGGAGGCCTATGTTCAGCAGTGGACGTCCTATGGCTGAAATAATGAGGGACACCTTTGTCCAGCAGTGGACGTCATTCGGCTGAAATGACGAACATTATTACTACGTTACTTACGTTTATGCATTAACTGAGTTTATTATTAACTCTTTCCAGAAGTCATTGGCACTTTGTTAATCAAATACAATACTGCGTAGTTCTTAACCTTTCAAGACGATCCATCAACCTTCGGCGCCATCTGGCGGATGATCAATGGGAGAATTCTGTTTACCTGTTGCCTTGCATTTATTTGGGAAAAAGCTTTTCTTGCCTGTGGTACTACTGATAGTAATACCACAGAATAATAATAAGTACTACGTACAGAAGTTTTACTTCGCGAAGGTATTTAAAAAAATGTATGCTCAATGTCATTAACAATATGGTGTAATTTAGCCTGTCTCAAGAGTCAAGCACCATTTTGTTGACAAACGTCGGTGATCGGCACTGCGCCGAAGGTATAGGGCTGACTTCGGTAAAATGATGTGACGTGAGGTGCCAAACTGCGGAAAATGGTAATACTACCAAACTTACTATCAGGGTAACACATTTTCCCCCTTACCTACCTACCTACTGTGGACGTCTTTCGGCTGAAACGAACGAACCTACCTACTACTTAGTAGGTACCTTAACCCTTGTTTTGTCACCTGTCATCCGCTTTGCACTGTAGGGAACTCTAACTTCAAATATTCCTCATGTTCTTTTGGATTAATTTCGTTGCGGGTCCAATGAAAGTTTAACTTTTCCCCGGGACAAACTTGACCTTCATGGCTGGGTTTTTATTGGCCTGTCTCTTACTTACACTTTACTTAGCAAATTCAAAGGAATAATAAATGATAATCCACAAATACAAAGGGAATATCTGTTAAATAAATAATTAGTTTAATTACTTAATTTAATCAAGAAGTTCCTGATCTCATCACGCCTTTCTCGTGCTGGTTTTTGTAATTTCGCCAACTTTTCATAATGGCCATTAATTATAATTATAATTAAAATTATTCTAATGTCAAGACACGTACGACGCTTTGAAACAGCTAATGATGATTTCCTCACATTATAAGTCTTACTTGTTTTTGGTACTTTGCTGACAATTTATGTATTATGCTGTACCTACCTGTACCAGTATCGTGTTTGGTTATTCTTCCTTCTTTAAACTTAATATAATAATTCATCATCATCTCAGCCATAGGATAGGACGTCCATTGCTGAACATAGGTCTCCCCCAATGCTTTTCATGTTTTCCGATTGGTAGCGGCCTGCGTTCAGCGCCTTCCTGCTACCTTTAAGTATGTAACTATAATTAGGTAATGTATAAATTTCCTAGGAAATGTATCTAATATAATTTACATCACACATTTCCGGGTGACCAAACCACTCGACGGATTGGGCTGAAATTTGGCATGGAGGTAGATGTTATGATGACGTAGGCATCCGCTAAGAAAGGATTTTACGAAACTACACCCCTAAGGGGGTAAAACGGGATCTACGCGTACGAAGTCGCGGGCGGCCGTTAGTACCTAAATAAAATGTATGTCTGTAAGATCTAAAGTCCTTTGACACGAGTCGGGTTCAGAAAAACGGTTAACCTAAAAAGGTGGGCTAAGTGCGGGATCAAGACACATAAAAGAAACTGACAATTATAGGTGCCTATAAATTATTGAGTTCCCTTTGGGTAGCTAAGGGTGCTCACATACTCAGGCGAAGTAGCGTAATGGGTGCAGTAGGTTAGGTGAAGTTGTTCAGACGTTACCTATGTTGCGATATTTTATTCAACTCAAAAAAGCTCTGTCGACCATTTGCGATTTTTTTGCAAAAAATTATTAAAAAGTGTTTGCGAAATGTGTATGAAAAACGTAACGCTAAGAATATTAACTTCCGATAAACATTTGTGCACTTTGTAAGGGAGNATCCCCTCGTAACTACTAAGCAAGCTTGTGTTACTAATAGTTTACCACAAATGTGCAGCGGCGGCGGGGGTTCGAACCAGCACATTCTTCTGATCTCGAGTCGGCCAGTCCAACACATTCACCGTTCACCTATTGTCACTTGAAATTAGATACTTCGTTTCTTCGACTCTTATTTCCAATCATTTGAAAATTATTGCCTTGGGGGACACGTGCGTTTTCCGGTACGCGGCCTCCATTCCAGAACCTTGCTGCCCCATCGGCCGTCAGTTCTGCGTACTATATGCCCTGCCCATTGCCACCACCTACGTCCACCTACAAGGTGAACCGACGACATCGTAAAGGTAATAATAATAANAAAATTTAGCGTTTATATTATGAAAGAACAGAAAATTCTAAGAAACTTTGCCATAGAAACTATTTAAATCGTAACATCACATAAAAAGATGTTGAGGTATAAAGAAAAAAAAAATCGTTTTTTGGCTCTCCTGAAAAGTCGTGTTTTGTCCCTTACAGTAATTGATATTTCCACTATCGATATAGATTTCCCTTGCCATTTTCTTTAAAAAAAAACTAATATTGTCCACGGAGAACATATTCACGGTTAAGTTTGAGAAAGATGAAAAACAAAAGTTAATTAAATAATAAATTGTATTTATTTCAAATTAAAACAAGGAAGGGATGTAGTGTATAGACATTTGTCTCGAGCGCATACGTCACAGCCCAGTCAGCGGTGGGGGCATTCGGCGTCCGACCGTGGTGCGGGCAGGTCGTGCTGTGTGCGTAGGCGAGCCAAATAATAATCTAATGGCGGAGATAAAGGTGTACAATACACCATCCAAGACATATTTGTAAAGCTGAAGGAGGAATTTACCCTTCTGCGATATGTTTTCCTCTATGGCAACCACACTTGAATTTCAAGTCACCTCAACCTTCCATGAGTTCGGAAGTTGCAAGCGGGCTTATAGTGGTGCCGTCAGAGATGAAGGTTAATAGCAGCGAAAAGCTGAAGGAGGAATATGATAGATAACCACACCTGGATTTCCAAAGTCACCTCAACCTTCCATGATGAGTTCGGAAGTTGCAAGCGGGCTTACAATGGTACCAGTGTTAGGGATGAAGGTTAACAACACCGAAAAACTCAAATTCTGATACATGTAGCCATGTCATCAGCCCTGTTTGAATACAAGGGGAGGGAGGAAGCTCTTCGTGGCCTTTAAATTACGGTTTGAGCTGAGACTACTATAAATTCAGTCACATCAGCCCTGTTTGGAAACAGGGGGAGGGAGGAAATTATTCCTTACGGGAGAAGTTTGAGAACGCCTGAGGGTTTTCGTGGCAACTGTACTCAGGGCTCAGCACCAAAGCCCTATATGATGTTTCGAAGTCATGGACTAGCTCTTTGAAATTGCAGACACCAATGTTCCTGACCAGTCCCTGGGCCTGTACCACTCATCAGCGCCCCGCCTGCTCCAGAGCGCTGAGACGGCGCCTGTGCCCAGTCTAGCCGCGCCTCTCCACGAGCGTGGTCAGCCAGCCCATGGTGGTGCCCCGAGCCACCTCCGCCGAGCCATGCGTGAGCGTGGTCGGCTGAAGAAGATGACTTCCCGAGCCACCTCCGCCTTGCCATGCGTGAGCGTGGTCGGCTGAAGAAGATGACTTCCCGAGCCACCTCCGCCGAGCCATGCGTGAGCGTGGTCGGCTGAAGAAGATGACTTCCCGAGCCACCTCCGCCTTGCCATGCGTGAGCGTGGTCGGCTGAAGAAGATGACTTCCCGAGCCACCTCCGCCCAGCCATGCGTGAGCGTGGTCGGCTGAAGAAGATGACCTCCTGAGCTACCTCCGCAGTGCCATGCGTGAGCGTGGTCGGCTGAAGAAGACGACCTCCCGAGCCACCTCCGCCTTGCCATGCGTGAGCGTGGTCATACGAAGAAGATGACCTCACGAGCCACCTCCGCAGTGCCATGCCTGAGCGTGGTCAACCAGAAAAGGTGGTGCCTCAAGCCACCTCCGCTGCGCCATGCGTGAGCATGGTCAGCCGAAGATGACTTCCTAAGCCACATCGTGTGATGGCACGCCGTCATCCACACCAGTCCTAGCTTCCTCGTCGGGACGACTTCGGAGCCAGAGGGGGAGTCTGTAACACGGCGCGCCCTTTTATTTACTTCGAGCGACCAGCGCCGAGCCGGCCACTACGTCACAGCGAGGTCTACGCGCGCGCGCAGCCGGCCGGGCGATCCTAACTTTACTGTGATATTTTGTTTCTACCGACTAACTATTCCGTGACTTGAGAGGTTGTCTGCTTTGATTGTGTAATTTAGTCATAGGTTTGTTGGCAATAAACACGAGGTAAAGCCCTATAAAATTGGTTTTGGTCATTTCTCTCTGTAGGTTAGGTTCCCCTCTTATAAATAGGGCGACCCGACGCGGCGCCCTCCTACAAGGAATGTTTTCTTTGAGAAAAAAGTTCTATCTACAATATTAAGAGTACTTTCCCTCCAGGTGGCATTATAAAATTTCACCCTGTATTGCGCCATCCAGTCCCAAAATATTTTTTTAAAATATAAAGAACAGGACTTACTAAAGTACCTACTCGTACCTATATTATTATGACAAATGTTGAAACTAAATGTGACAAGTATTGCCTACTTACTACTAAATAAAGTTAGTATTATAGTACTTCATTACACAAAGAAAACTAATAATCTCTAAGAAAAAATCTGGATATGAAAAACTACACACAGCAAAATTCTAACAGTAAGAAGGATAAAAGTATTTACTTAATAATTTATTTGATGCATTTAGCTGCATACCAGGCCTGTAAAAGTAAGATTTTATGCAAAAGAGCCAAACAAACAAGTTTAAGCTTGTAAAGAAAGTTTGGAACTTTTATTATGTAGAATAAGTTCTTAAAAGTGACATAGTATTTAAAAGTTTTTATCTATATTTATTTATGAAAATAGCCTTGTCTCCGTCTGTATCATTGCCATCAAAATATTACTATTACTATTATCTTGAACTCCATTAACATTGATGATTGATTGATACTTTATTAGATTTACTTAGTTCAGTTGATAACATTCCTATATCATTTTTATCTCAACTTATTAGATATTTAATATTAATTAAAACCCAATGAATTTTAAAACTCTTATTATGAATTCTTATTCTTATTTAAAACACTCATTTATTAAGAAGGCTTATTTAAAGATAATAATCAATTTATGTTCAATTAAATATTTTGGAATTATGAACAGTTTACTGTGGTTTGTTAAGATTTTATTAATTTTCATTAAATATTGGTTTTCCGGGACAAGTTGTACATCATTATTGATCACTTTAACATCTGAAAAGTAAAATATATAACTTTGTGGTAGCCGTGTCAATGTACTTAACATCTATAATAAATTGCATTGTATAAAGTTCAATGTCCAAATAGACACACGCACAGACACGTGACACGGAGCTGTAATGCATAAGTCAAATATCGATAATAAAGGAGTTGAAACTAGAATCTTGTGTTGATCACTTGTTTTCCCTGCCCTACACCAACACTGACACTCACATTGGTGACCCCGACGTGATTTCAACCGACGTGATTTCAACCGACGTGATTTCAACCAGCGTGTTTTTCTTCTATTTATTTCAACCGAAGTGAATTTCTCCCGACGTGCAATCAAGAAACATGCCTGTGATGCCGGACGCACCTGCCCAAAGTGGTTACCAGTATCAGACCGCACAACAACAAGTGATGTATTCGAGTCAACAAGACATGCAGCCCCACGCATCTGGTTCATCCTCCACTCAACCTGAAGTCTCTTCAATAAGTGTGACTGCCAGAATTCCAGAGTTTTGGGTTGAGATACCGAGACTATGGTTTGCACAGTTCGAGTCCATCATGGCACCGCAGAAACAAGGCGACGAGTGCAAGTTCAATTTAGTCATTTCGAAATTGGGTCGCGAGACTATTCAACAAGTTGGTGATTTGTTGCTGACTCCACCGAGTGAACAAAAATACAACACTCTGAAACAACGATTGTTATCAATCTATGAAGAGTCCGCTGAACGGCAATTCCAAAAACTGATAGGCGAGATGGAATTAGGTGACCAGAAGCCGTCTCAACTCCTGAGAAAGATGTCGGAGCTAGCACGAAACGCCAACGTCGCCGACTCAACACTTCATAGTTTGTGGCTACAACGTCTACCAGGTTCGGTCAGAGCAGTTCTAACAGTGAGCCAAGATCAAAAACTAGACAACCTGGCTGCTATAGCCGACAAAATTATGGAAAACATAAGGCTTCACGAAGTCTCAGAAGTGGCAAGCTCCAGCAGTTTTCCAATGAACGAGTTGTTAACGCAAATTAACAAGTTATCCCTGGAGGTCGCTGAAATGAGGACCAGTCGTTTCAATTCACGAGGCCGCGGACGTGGTTATAACTCAAGATTCAGAAGCCGTTCCCGATCAAGACCAGGAAGAGGACCAAACAACCCGAACTGGCTTTGCTATTACCATCACCGCTTCAGAGGACAAGCACAGAAGTGTGAGCAGCCCTGCGCCTGGAAAACAAAGTCGGAAAACTCCCAATAGTGTTGCCGGAGGCGGACGTCAGCGCTATATTTCCATCAAGCCGCCTTTGCGTTACCGACCGAAAAAGTCGTTATCGCTTTCTAATAGATACAGGAGCGAACGTATCTGTGATTCCGAGGACAAGAAAGGCAATCAAATCACACGAATATAAATTGTACGCCGCCAACGGGAGCGAAATCAAAACATACGGTGAAAAGTCCCTTGAACTAGATCTCGGATTACGACGGCCGTACCGGTGGACATTCGTCATCGCTGACGTCAAACAACCTATACTTGGCGCCGATTTCTTAGAGAAACATAATTTGTTAGTCGATATGCGCCAGAAAAAATTGGTGGATGGTGTGACAGGATTATTAACACCTGCCAGGATAATTTCCTCTGATATACCAACAGTGAAGACTATCAACGCCAATACTCCATTCGCAGACTTAATAGAAAAGTATCCTGACGTCACAAAGCCATTCTGCGCCAAGGAAACACCAAAACATAACGTGGTTCACCAAATTATTACCGAAGGACACCCGGTGGTATCCAAATGTCGTCAATTATCTGCAGAAAAATATAAGCTGGTGAAGAAGGAAATCGAACACATGCTCGAAGCAGGCATTTGTAGACCATCAAAGAGCGCCTGGGCAAGCCCAATCCACGTGACGAAGAAGAAAGATGGTGGAATCAGATTATGCGGTGACTACCGGAAACTGAACGCTATCACCAAGCCAGATCGTTATCCAATCCCAAGGCTACTAGATTTCACATATCTCTTACCAAAGAAGACTATATTTTCCCGGATTGACCTAAAAAGAGCATACAACCAGGTGCCGGTCGAAGATATTGAGAAAACAGCCATAATTACGCCCTTTGGATTGTTCGAGTTTCCCCGCATGCCATTCGGATTGCGCAACGCAGGTCAAACATTCATGAGGTTCATGAATGACGTTATGAATGGCCTAGATTTCGTTTTTTGCTTCGTTGACGATATTTTAATAGCATCAGAAAATGAATTTCAACACAGAGACCACATCGAGGAAGTCCTAAGTCGATTAAATAACCACGGGATAACCATCAACACGGATAAATGTATATTTGGTCAACATGAAATAGATTTCTTGGGATACAAAATCACATCACAAGGTGTAATTCCGTTGCCGGACAGAATAAAAGCCATCGACGAGTATCCATTACCAAAGACGGTCCGTGATTTAAAACGCTTCTTGGGTATGCTTAATTTTTATAGAACAAGCATACCCCACGCAGCTGCACATCAAGCACCGTTGAATAAGTACATGTGTGGAAGTAATAAGAAACGAGATAGCAGCATCATCGAGTGGAACGACGAGACCCGGGAAGCCTTCAGCCAGTGCAAGAATGGCTTAAAACAAGCCATCGCTCTGAGCCCCCCTGCACCCGACGCACCGTTATCGATTATGACAGACGCATCTCAAACATGCGTCGGAGCCGTTCTTCAACAAAACGTCAACGATCAATGGAAACCAATCTCCTTTTTCTCCAAAGCGCTGTCGCAAACACAACAAGGATACAGCACATACGACAGAGAGCTACTGGCAATTTATATGGCCATATGTCATTTCCAAAGTTATTGTGAAGGACACGAGATAATTGTTTACACAGATCACAAACCCTTGTCTTTTATGTTCAAACAGAAACAAACTGTTTCTAAGGAAAAAATATCGCCGAGACGATTACGTCAGTTAGACTACATAGCGCAATTCACTTCTGACATACGACACCTCTCCGGAACGCAAAACGCAGTAGCAGACGCGCTATCACGAGTTTCACAAATTGACTTTCCTGATAAAATTGACTGGGCCGAACTCGCCGCACAACAAATAGCTGAACCAGAATTGATGAAACTTTTGGAAAATAATAGATTGAAATGGAAGAAAATAAAATTACCGAATAACCAAGATTTGTATTGTGAGATTTCTACAGACGAAATTCGACCATATGTACCGAGTATATTTAGAAAACAAATATTCGGTACATTACATGACGTCACGCACCCGGGAATCAGAGCAACGAGAAAATTAGTCCAAAAACATTACTTTTGGCCTGATATGAATCGAGATGCAAACAAATGGACCAAACAATGCATAGCCTGTCAAAAATCTAAGGTTTTACGTCACAATAATACACCAATTATGCAATTCCCCGAGTCTGAACGTTTCGATCACGTGCACATGGATATAGTGGGACCGCTACCTATATCAAATAACAACAGATACGTCATCACCTTCATTGACCGATATACACGGTGGCCTGAGGCGGTACCCGTACCTGAAGTCACAGCCGAGATCGTCGCGAAGACATTTTTCAACACCTGGATCTCAAGATTTGGATGTCCTGTCAGGATAACGACGGATCAAGGACGTCAATTTGAATCAAACCTGTTTTCATCGTTGGCAAAGTTAATGGGAATTAAGAAAATAAGAACCACAAGTTACCATCTCATTTGCACATGTGTCCGTTTAGCCAAGATCTGCCAGTTAAATTTGAGGTTTAAAATTGTTCAGAATGGAAATAAATTAAATTAAATTGAATATTGTGTCAAAATCAGCTGTACGTTTAAGTTTAATATTCTGTCAAAGTCCACTTTTGCATGCCGTGGCAGCCTGTAA